TTTATCAGCTGGAGTTTCCTTTAATAAGACATGCACACAGGAAATCTGTGTTGGTGCTTCCTTCTGCTTGAGCGTATCAGACCCCGGGCTTCCTTGGAACACAGTGTCTTTTAACATATTCTAGGTCTGAGCTATCTTCTGTTGAGTTTTTCACCTTAGCCTACCTTTTGTTAGAGGACAAGCAGTGAGCAGTTAACTTCTTGCATATGGGTGTTATCATAGTTCACCTCTGCAAGTGCAGTACTACTACAGCAGTGATATAGCAGCTCCTGCACCTCCAAATGTGGCCTGGACAGCCTGCTGTCCTTAAGGTTTGAAGTATTTGGCTTTTTTTGTGGCCTAGTTTTTTCCCACTTTTTAAATTTACTCTTCTCATTGAACGTTGAAAGGTTTCTTCAAAATAGAGTAGTTCCAGGACCCATATGTCTTTGAGCTTTCAGGAGGAAGAGCGGTCAGCTCATAAATTTTAGGTGTATTTTGTTGATAAACTGCCATTCCATGAAAACCTTTTCTTTCATGGAGCAGCTGCGCTCTGTCTGCCAATGGGTAGCCAAAGAGGAAAGAGAATGAAAGCGATTAGCTAAGCTCCCATCTGCCCATAAGTTGCACTGGTTGAATCTTTTTGCGGGGTACAAGACTAAAGCCAGATCAACTCAAATACTACTGATGGGTTGTAAATCTTTCGGGTAAGTCAGGAGGAGCAAATTGGTGGCCAAATCAAGAGAAGGGAAATGGAAACTTATGAAAGTTCCTTCATTAGTAGGAACTTGGTGTACACTTTAATTCTGCCACGCGGGTCATCTCAGGCTATCCTTCGCCTGTTATCTGAAAAATGTCTTATGGCTGGATGCAGTTTAAAATCTGTAAAAAGATTTGGGAGAGTTACTGTTTAAACCCAGACCTACTTGCTTAGTTTTGTAATCATCAGGTTTTCATACCACACAGCATGTTTTTTGGGGGTTGGACATCCTTATTAAATTGTAGAGATATTCTTAGATTCCAGCCTTCAAGTTTCCAGAGGTATGTTTTAGAATATAAACATGAGCAGATAGTTTTGACTTTGAGGTTAATTTTTTTAACCTGAGGTTAGCCTAGACATATTTGTTAGCTGTGGGACATTTGGGGAAAATAAATTAATTGTAGCAATATGCCAGTTAGTATTGGAGTACCAGTCTGGTATGTTGGGATTCTTCTTTATTTTCCTTCAATTTACCCAGTACCTCTCAAGAAGGTTATATGGCAAAATGCATCTGCTTTGCTGTTTGAGATTTTTTTAGTGTTCTGGTGCCACCTATTGAATTCTTTTCAACTGTGTCCAATTCTATGGCTATAATCATATAATAGAATAAAACATAAAACAGGGGGAGACCTTTAAAATGCTTAGAAGAACATAAAACTGCCATAAAATTCTGTTAAAATGCCAGTGCTCATTTGGAGGGAAAAAAGGCAATCTAGGACCATTATTTTTCACACTGTTTTAAGTGATCTGCTCTAGTTGAGCTGGTCTGAGCTAAGCAGACTAGATGATCTCTTGAGGTCATTTCCAAGCTTGAGTTCTATGATGTGACTGAAATTCAGCATCTGTTATGAGTGGGCAATAAACCTCATGCTATATTTAAGCCAGTAGCATTATTCCTGACTTTACAAGCAAGAAGATGGAGAAAATTACTTTATAAAATATACATTTGCATTAGAGATCAATAAATAGCTTGAAAAATATTTCTAAATGTTTCACTGATCTCTGAGTGGAGTTTCATTTAGGACTTTTTCTGCAACTTCTTTGATTCTTTTCTTGGAGACAGTTATTTGAGTGATAGTTGATCTGTGTAGATGCACACAGAAAGTTAGTTTTGGCCTTAAGGTGTATTTAATGTGCACAACCAAAGTAAAATTTGGGAAGGAGGGGGAATAATTGATTCTTCAACTGATAAGCCAGTTGAAGAAAGAAAAATCATATTATGGAACTTAGAGCAACCAACCACCAGTTTTTAAATGCTGAATTTTAGAAAAAACATGAAGATACAGTGAAAATTAATGTCTCATGGCAAATATGAATGAATATACATGTCATGTTTTCTAAACTTCATTGGCAGTTTAAGGTATAGTCAGATTATAGAATTTCTGGTAATAAATGTTCTATTCAGATCCTGCAGATACATTGATAGATCAAAAGATCATCTGTATTTTTGTATTTTGACAGCATCTGTCAGGTTAGGTTAACATTCTGTAGCTCTGAAAAGCATAGGTTTTCTTGTGTTTCAATGGAGATACAAAAATATAAATGAGTTAACATACTAGAGCTGATAATATGGTAGCTTCTAAACCTGTGTTATTTAGTCTCTTGTCAGTCTACTACTTTTTTTACAGATTAGATTCTTACAATTAAGAGCAATTTTATTTTGAAAGTTTCTTACAATTTCAGACAAACTATAGGCAGACCCATATCCTTGTCTCATGGACCAGATTTTAGGCAACACAATCCCAACCTCTATAAAGAATGAAGTAGCTAGCTCTGCGTTACTATTTTTAGGTGAGCTTCATTTGACTTCTCTTGATACTTTAAAACATCCGACTTCTGGATTTTTCCAAATTTTAATTTGTAGGAAGAGATTTTGAATAATGTACAGTCCACAACAAATTCAACTCTTCACTAGAAAAGTACCTACCCGATTTTAGATTTTTTTTACATTGGCTTATATATGGCTTATACATGTTTCATGGAAGTTCTGAGCATAAAGAAATTACTCTCCGCAGGTATCTTTGTCATCACTGATCATGTTTTTTTAGTGGATGTTGCTAGTCTTCTGAACTGTCCATACAGGATGCAGAATCCGTGGAGACTATTAAGCAGCCAACACATGTAGCACTGATTGTTGGATCGATAAGGAGAAAAATCTTTGGAGTTCTGGGAGGTCTGCCTATGTTGAGCTTCTGTGTCAGATAAGCAAAGTGTTTTTGGTGCTTGCACATGAACAGGGCAACAGAATATGTATCCTTCATAAGTACTGCAGTTTTTCACAAAACCCTGGATTTTTGCTTTAAAGGTTGAAGGAGTTTATTTTCAAAAGAGTAGAGCTACAACATTTGTAGAGTACCATGTAGCGAAGCTCAAGAAACAGAGAAATTATAAACAGTGAAGTACTATCTGAAAAACACAGATGCTTCCCCCCTCCCCCCACAAAACTAACCAGACAACAAAAAAAACCCAAACCCAAACAAAACAAAAAGGAAATAAACATCGTGGGAAAGAAATAGCAGAAAAAGGGAGAAAAGGAAAAGCCAAATAAGCAGATAAAAGTTTGTGAACAGTTACAACAGGGCATGTATGAATAAATGGCTTTATTCCTTGATGAAAGCATAGCAGGCTGTGTTAGATGTCTTGAGGGAAGAGGCATTGCTTTGGGATGGATTTCATAGAATCATAGAATGGTTTGGGTTGGAAGGGACCATAAAGATCATCTCTTTCCACCCCCCTGCCAAGGGCAGGGACACCTTGCACTAGACCAGGTTGCTTCAAACCCCGTCCCACCTGGCCTTGAACACTGCCAGTGTTCACTTGAACAGTGCCGCTTTCACAACTTCTCAGGAAAAACCTGTTCCAGTACCTCATCACCCTCACAGTAAAGAACTTCTTCCTAATGTCTAATCTAAGTTGACCCTTTGTCAGCTTAAACCCATTCCCCTTGTCCTATCTCCTATACGCCCTTGTAAAAGGGCCCTCTCCAGATTTCTTGTAGGGCCCCTTTAGGCACTGGATGCTACTCTAAAGTCTCCCCAGAGCCTTCTCTTCTCCAGGCTGAACAATCCCAGCTTTCCAAGCCTGTCTTCACAGGAGAGGTGTTCTAGCCCTCTGATCATCTTCGTGGCCTTCCTGGGCTTGCTCCCACAGCTTCACGTCCAGCTTATTTTCGGGGCCCCACAGCTGAGAACAGTACTCCAGGTGTAGTCTCACCAGAGTGGAGCAGAGGGGGAGAATCCCTTCCCTCAACCTCCTGGTCTTACTCCTTTAGATGGAGCCCAGCATATGGTTGCCTTTCTGGGCTGGAAGTGCACGCAGCAGGTCATGTTCAGGTTCTTATGAACCAACACCTCCAAGTCTTTCTCCTCAGGGTTGCTTTCAATCCATTTTCTGCCCATTCTGTATTTGTACTTGGAGTTGCTCTGACCCAGGTGCAGGACCTTGTACTTGGCCTTGTTGAACTTCATGAGGTTTGCACTGGTCTACCTCTCAAGCCTGTCAAGGTTTCTTATGTTAAAGTGGATTTCAGGATTTTTATGTCAAAGTGGAAGATTCTAATCCACAAAATGAGTAAAGGATATAGTGCTGAGAACAAACTCATGGTGGCAGCTATTGCCATTTTTTTTGTCTCTCTTGCAGCATAAATTTTACATTACACAAATACAAAATGCTTTGGGTCAAGATTTCAAAACAGAATGTAAAAATGAGTCTTGTTTTTATAGGTGTGAAAAAATCATAGCTCCCAGCTCAAGTCAGGAGGTAATTTATAACCTGAGGATAGCAGTTATTAGGAAAGATTCTTAAATATCAGCAGGATAGTCCAGGAAGGGCACAGCCACTTAGAAACTATTAGTAGGAAAGCAAATGGCTTTTGGAAGTGCTGAGGATTGGCTTTCCAGCTTTTGTATAGTGAGGATTATAGACAGGCTGGATTTTTCTTGAAAAAGAATGTTGGTACCTCTTCTTAGCAACAGTCATTCTTCATTCAGTAAAAAAGTCACCCCTATTTGTTGATATTGCTTGTACATGTATACATCGCTGTGGGATGATGCAAAAGGTTTTGAGAGTTCTAGCTTTTGGCATTGCAAAATACATCAATAAACATGAAAATATTTCAGTATCCTCAGAAAATATTTCAGTATCTGTCATGGGAAATGTGGTTCAGAGAAAGCTGTACAAACCATTGGACTTTTTCTACTATAGATGAACTTCTCACTTACATGCATTGCTCACCTGGTGATATCTTTTCCCCACTATGCAGCAGGAGATGAAAATCTGGCAAACACCAGCTTTCCCTTCCTTATGTCACCTCCACCTGCACACTCCACATCACTCTCACCTCCAGACACCACTGAAGGTAACGGTGAATTCAGGACAATGGCATTGCTGCTATTCTCCTGTTTCAGCTGAACTGGCATCTACTTCTATCGTGCCTTTGTTAACTCCATTGCTGTGAAAGCAATCTGGTCATTTTTTGTTGTCTGAGGTCAATTGTATTACAGAAAATATTGTTCATGCGATTAGGACATATTTAGGGGTTTATTTTAATTAAATCAAAGGTGGGGATTTAAAACACATTATTCAAAGAATTCAGGGTATAACATGCTGTTGTTATGAGTTCATGTGTTCTTTATGGACCCCCTTCCCCTTGAGCTCTCAGATAGGCTTTTCATGATGAGTTGTCACAGTGACACTTTCTTGCAATTCATGCAGGCACCACAGCAGTATCTGGTAATTGTTGGAAGAGGGTATTTCCTGGGTCAGAAGCACAAAACAAAAACACTCCAGTCAGTCTGGCCTTTTTACAAACTGTACATTACTTCACACCTTTCAGCTGGTGTTTTGAAACACCTGAAATTAGTGCATGCCCCACACATTGCTAAAGAATGATCCAATGTCTTCCCCACAGAGGCATTCTAGACAAGTTTGTGTGAATTTCGAGTAGGTGGTCTTGCAGACCTAATTGCAGGCCGTACTCTTTCAATAAATCCAAGCAGATCTATTGCAGAGCCTGTACAGGAACTGAAGGGGAATTTTAAATTTGTTCTTTTTTTGCCAGTGTTGGAGAGGGAAATATAATTCAGAGAGCAGCTGCTTGCGGTGAGCTGCTCGTCTTCATACATTACTCACCTGATGGTATCTTTTTCCCTACTATGCAGCAGGAGATGAAAATCTGGCAAACACCAGCTTTCCCTTCCTTATGTCACCTCCACCTGCACGCTCCACATCACTCTCACCTCCAGGCACCACTGAAGGTAACAGTGAGTTCAGGACCATGGCATTGCTGCTATTCTCCTGTTTCAGCTGAACTAGCATCAGGTACAGCCTTCCTGATGCTGTCTCCACCCCTCAGGCTTCACAGCACGAACGCATAGCTCAAGAAGTGATTTTTAATGTGGACAGTATCAGTCCACATATATCATATGTTTGATATTTTGGGGGTCTGGTTGTTGCTGCATGCCACTAAATATTACTTAAGAATGTAATTACTTAAGAATGTGTAATTCACTGGGGAAAACTCAGCTGATTGTTGGGAGGAAGGAATGTTTCTTATTTTATTTTTGGCATATGATTGTGTTTAATTCCTTGAAAGTTTAATTTACAATTTCTCTCTTTCTCTTTTAAAGGAGATGAGTCAGCAGTGACTACGCCTGGTAAGAAACTTTTAATTTACATGACAGAACTGCATTGTTGTTTTTTATTAATAATTTCTACTTTCTTTTTGCTGCACACAGTTCTCTTACAGAACATGTCATGCCTTTTCATTCAGCCTAATGAGTTGAAATGTGCTGTTGAAAGAGGGGAGAATATCAGACAAGTCTGGTTTTGGGTCATGAATCCAAGTATGTTTTAAAACACAGCAAGAAAGAGGTGTAGTCAGCGCCAAAAAGGATTACACTTGTAGAATGTTCAGCTGACAACTGTTGGACCTCTGAACACCCTGAGCATTTGGTGTGCTTGTGTCTTTGCTTGCAAACAGATTCACAGTGCCTCAGTATGAGAGTGCTCCAGCACAGCAGTCCTGTGTTGCGTGGAGCTTTGTGTCCTTCAGGATGCAGGAAGCCTCTGAAGCAATAATGAAACTGCTGTAACTCTCACCACAGGTTTCTTTCCTGCAGACAGCACATACCTCTCCATGCACACAGGCTTCATCCCTGGCACGGCACTCAGCAACCCACCACGCAGCAGCACTACTTCACTCACCACACGCGCTCCCACTGCCTTCCCGAATGCTTCATCAGGTTTGACATCTTCCTTTAGATGCCACTCACTGCTCTCTAAACTGTAATGGGAAATTAAGTAATTCAGCCTCAGGAAAGCCTTTTCCAGCATTTGGTTTGTCAAATTGAAAAGGTATCTGCAGTCTGGCAATACCAGAATTATTTCCAGGATGTGGTATCAGATAGCCAGTTCTTGTAGTCATCTGTCCTGGGTTCAGCAGTAGCAGTCATTTTTCTCCTTCTTAATTTCTGGTGCAGTGCTGTGTTTCTGACTTTCAGCCTGGGAACAGTGCTGATAACACCAATGTTTTTAGTTACTGCTCAAATTTTTAGCCTGGCCAAGGACTTTGTGAGCCTCATGCTCTGCCAGGGAGGAGGGGAAGCCGGGAGGAAGCAGAGACAGGACACCTGACCCAAACTGACCAAAGAGGTATTCCATACCACAGCACATCATGCCCTGGATGTAACTGAGAGTTACTCAAAAGTGCTAGTTGACTGCGGGGTTGGAGGAGGTATCAGTCAGTGCTTGGTCGGGCGGGGTGGGTTATCGGTCAGCTGGTAGTGAGGTGTTGTATTCTCTTTCCTTATTTCCTTTATCATTACTATTATTGGTGGTAGCAGTAGTGATTTGTGTTATACCTTAGCTACTAAAGTGTTCTTATCTCAACCCGTGGAAGTTGCATTCTTTTCAGTTCTCCTCTCCGTCCTTCCGGGAGTAGGAGGAGACAAAGAAGGGGGGGAGTGAGAGAGCGACTGCATGATTTGTGGCTGACTGGGTTTAAACCACAACATTGTCTCAGTACTAGCAAAACTCTAGCTGCTGTCAATGAGGCCATTGTCAAAGCAAGAGCAATAGGAGTGACCTAAAAGAGAATATAGAAACCCGTCAGTGATTTATAGGCAGGAAGATAAATACTGATATCTAGTGAGTCATATAGCGTGCCACGTATGTGATCTGGCAAGTGAACACTGATGAAGTGCTTGTTCCTGAAAGAGCACAAGGACTGTTCATAATTGTGTTTTATTGTAAGAATATAGCAAAATGTTACAGTTTTTCCCAGTTCACAATTATTAATGCCATTTTTATGTTTATTCTATCTGAATTAAGCCTAAATAAAGAAAAAAATCTGCTTATACAGTGCAAAATTTATTAATAGGTGGTATATTAAAAAAAAATTGCTTCTATTTAAATAATTATTTTCTGGTTTATTTGATATATTGACATGATTTTTCTTTCAGCACTCTCCTCTAAACTACAAAAATCCTGGGAAAGAAAAAAATAAGCAGAGGAGGGCTGTGTAGTATAAGACATTTCTAATGATAGAGCCATACAAAATAATGAATTTTACTTTGTAATGCTGATATGTTTTTTATTTCCTTACAGATGATTACAATTCAGCATCCTTGCACAGCACCATCTCACCAGTCAGCATGCCAACAAACACTGGGATCATCCCCACTTACACAATAGGTGACAAACTTGCACACAGTTATCACAATTATGTCACTGCAAGCACAGAAATGTGCTAGAATGAGGGAATTCATTTTGAATGTTTTTATCAAATTTAAGCATACAAATCAGGCATACAACTGCATTAAACTTAAGGACTTTTAGAAATCTTAGTAGTAGTTTATGAGTAGCGTTAAAGATACCAGATTTGCCACTTGTCAAGAAAGTGAAAAATAAAATTTCCACACAGTAGCATAGCACAAGGGTAAAACTGTCAATTACTGCATCAGTACTTCTCTTGCTATTCACAGAAACGTGCCCAAACAGTAAAAATGTATGAATACATCCAAGATCTATGTGCTTCTCTGTTTTCTGGTGGCATCCCTTTTGTTTCACTCAGCATTAACGTTTTCTTGGGATCTAATATTGCAGACATTTACACATATTATTACTGCAGTTGGGATGTTAGGAATTACTCAGGTCAGTAAAATACATGTGTGTGCTTGAGCAAAGTACACCAGGAGTCAGACTCTTACCACCCTTGTAACTACCCTTCAAAGTAGCTATATCATTCTGTCAGCTCTTTGACTAAACTTAGCTTTTACTTGTGGGTCTTCTGCCCCTAATCATCTTGGTAATTCTCCACTGGACCCTCTCAGTCTACCCTCTCTTTAGGGGCACTACTCAGCCAGATGGCTCCCAGCCTGGAGGAATGCAAATCTAGGGCCAATCTTCTTTGAAAAAAATTCCATATCAGTCTCTTTTGGTAATACTCATACCTTAGTAGATTTTCAGTAATTCTTTTAGGATGAAGTTCTTTGCTCAAGCATCTGTACATATTTTCTAAATACCAGCTCATAATTTCTTTTGAGTATTTTGATGTAAAAATATTTGTAAAACTATCTGTACTGTTGCAGAAATCTCTTTCCAAACAGTATAAAACATAGGTTAATTTTGTTTCTTTAGTGACATTGGATGCTGCTCAGTTAGCCGTTCCACAGCATATGTGTCCTGAGAAACCACTATCACATCATATCACTATAAGAATGTCTGATTTTGGAATATTCTTCTGTAACTTTGTATGTAGAAATGTTATTAGTAGCCAGTTTGATTTATAGGCAGCTATGTCATTGTAAAATTATAAAAGACATGTGGTGCCTAAAATAACTAAAAGTGGGGTTCTATGTAGCTGATGTTTTTTTGCTTTTTAAAGCGTGAGTGGAGTGCTAAATATAGTTACTTGCATTTAATATACTGAATGAAGTTTTGGGCAGTATCAATCACACTCCTCTAATGCTCTGTGGAAACAAACCCCCAAGCCTGCTGAGCTACACCTTACTTTTCTTTTCTTATAGAAGCTCCCCCAGTGACAACAGATGAACCTTGTGGTAAGAACCAAACTACTTATTTTATCTCAGTCTTCAAATGTGACCAAATCAGTAAACTAAAATATGAAGAGTTGATCAGTAAAACTGATCAATTATAGCACCTCAGATCATTTTATAATCTGTTTTCCAATTCAGTAAGTGTAAGTTTAATGTTATCAACAGTTCTCGCCTTCTTATCTTCATTTACAGTTCTGTTAAATTGCCCTGCACTAGGCTGTTGATATCAGGGCTGCAGAAGAGATCTGCCTTCATTCCTCTCTCAAATTTTTACCCATAATATTGATAGCCACATGCTGCAATCTGCAGTTCAAAACTAAAATAAAACTAAAGTTTGGATATTTGTTTTTCTGTCTTCAGAGTTAGAGACATCTCCTTTCTTATTTTCAGGAATAGATTCTAGCTGTTATTTACTATTATGAAATGCTTTGAGTGAGAAAATTTGAAATGTCTATTCAAACAAATGATTCAGTGTGTCAAAACAAAGTATTTCACTTTGAATGGACATTTTAAATTCAAGCAAATCTGTTTCTGAAATGTTCAGCTTCTTATTTTTTTAGTTTTTCTAACTGAAAGATTACTTGAAAGTATTTTCTGAAGGAAATGTTCTGTTTTGACAAAACAGTTTTTTAAAGTAAAAGATAAGTAGAAAGTTAAAATAAAGAATAAGAGGCAGATAGTTTAGTTGTATTTCCTTATTCTTAAAACACATATGGTGCTTGGGGTGCCATAAAACATTAAATGGTTCTTAAAAATTGTCATAAAATTATTCTTTACTATTTTATCTTTTAGATGATGCTATTGACTACAGCATAAAAAGTGTAGAAGGCAAGAATAACATGGCTGAAGTTACACTGAAAAATCTCAGAAAAAACAGAGAATATGTAATTTTGGAGGCTAACAAGAACTTCAGTGTGGAATCCGGCATCTATACAATAGAACTTCAGAGATGTATGAGATACACAGTTAGTGTTAAAAATTGCGCTGACATGTATCTTTTTGTTCCACCTGGTAGGTACAGAAGTGGTTTGGTAGTTTTTTGGGGATTTTTTTTTTTTTTTTTGACAAGCAGTCATCCAGCTTTCCTGGGTGTTTTACTCGATTTGTGTCTCTTTTCAGAGACTCAGACGGGTTTTCATATTTTTCTTGGTTTGTAAGATATTTTGAAGTTGCAGCTTAAAACCCTTCAGTATTTTCTTAAAGTAGGATGGAAAAAAAAAAAGTCATTTTCTCATTGTAAAGGAAAAAAGGGAACTTTATGTTGGCCATATGCAGCATGGTTAGCTATAACAAGACGAGTCAGCACTTGAAAGTTGCTATTTATGCTGGATATTTTGCTCACCAAAAAGATTACTGGATGCAAAGTTTCATTGATTATTTGAAAGCCAGCAGTGTCTTTGTATCATGTAAGATGATTTTTACTTTCCATTTCATGTTAAATTCTTTGTATGTTATTCTGTGCCAATTGTATCTTCATACTGCAGAACAAGACAACAAATATAAAAGAGCAAATTGCTATTTAAAGATTCAATATAATCAGTGTAACAGTGGCATATAATGTTAATCCTTTTCAGACATTGCTAAGAATCCTTTCACAGTTGAGGATCAAACCAACACATCTGCAACGTTATGCTGGAAAAAGCCACTTGACTGCTTAGCTAATGTGACTGTTCGCTGCAAAGGTAAGACTTCTCTAAGATATTCCAAATGTTGTTTATTTATTTTAAAAAAGAATGTTAGTGATGTCTTTTGATGACAGACTATCAGATTTAAATTAATAGTGCCAGTCTGAGGGAAGAACTGCTCAGAATTTCTGGGATCACCAGACTGGGGACTGCTGTCCCCACACACTGCAGATCTGGGGAAAGTTCAAACCCAGAGAGCTCATTTCCTGAGTTTGCCAGCTTCACAAATTGCAGACTTGTGGAAATTTTGGGGTCCTGCTTGATGGTCTGACCGGGAACTGAGAATTTGGAAATCCTGCAATGTGTGGGTCTGCTGTGAGCTGACCCCTTGCAGACTACCTCGACAGCTCGCACTGCGGCTTCCTGGAGGCCAAAAGCCAGGCTCTCTGCTCCTGGAGCCAGCCAGTGGGAGGAGACAATGGCTCAAGGGCAGCTAATGTGGTAGGGAAAGTACGAATATTGGACGTCCTCGTGTCCCAGAAAACTGTGTGATGAATGTCCGGGCCTGAAGGTTTCCTGTTTCAGGGAGCTGAAGAGCTAAGAAACTGCTCCAGGTTCCTACCAGATTCCCATGAAATGTTTTGATTTCTGTGGAAAAGTTGTTTTCTTAGAAAGTCAGATAATGTTACCTTTGCTGATAAAGAATAAAGATCTGTGCAAACTAAGTTAGTATAAAAGAACCCATGCCCTAGTCATTGGATTAGGTTGTACACTTTTCTGTCTGGAATATTATGACAGTTTATTAAAAATTATATTGACAACTGTGGTAGACAAATCCCAGTTAAAATGTTAGAATGTACACTTGGAGTTGTGAAAAATACTGATAAAATTCTTTTTCTGTCTATAGGTTTACCAGTCTTTACAGAATTAAATCAGTCTTGTAAAGAACTGAATAATTTATCAGCCAACTCTCAGTACAACTGCACTGGTGCCATACATTTCTTTGAAAAAAAGGTTGTCAGCCAAGAGTTCATCATAACAACAGATTATGGTGGTAAGTGGAATGCTTATTTTTGCTTTATGTTCTACGTATTTCTTAGAAACCCCTACTATAAATCTCACTATCCATGTTTCCTGGGGTTGAAGATATATTTTGAGCACTGTGCTCAGGCATTTCTCTGGTTCTGCTCCAGCTCCTCCCACCTGTTACCCTGCCCTTGTGGTTGTTCTTTGACTGAAGTCCTTCTCCAGCCCTAGTCTCAGTCTCCCATTTTGATGCCTTCCTTTCCTTCTTTCAGAGAGTGTGATTCATTTTTGAGGATGAGAGCAGGACAACATATAAGGAAATTTTACTTGAATGAAGACAGAAAAAAAAAGGCATAGGCCTAGTCAAAATCAAGTGTTAAGTTCTTGATTTGAAAAAAGATGTGATAGAACAATTGCAAAAATGTTTTTGTGTGTTTTTCCAAAGCATTGTCCTTGGAAATTGCTTAGCAGTTTTATTTAGGGGAGGGGACAGGCTGTTTCGGTTTGGTGGTTGGGTTTTTTTCCCTAAATTAAAAAGGAAATCAGCATAAATCAATATATTTATAATATTTGGAAATTCTCAAAAATTTTACTAATATGTAATATTGCTATATTCACCTTGTCCTGAATTAATTAAATTTATGATACTACTCTGTGATGCTGTTGCATATCACAGTATCACAGTATGCTAGAGTTTGGAAGGGACCTCAAAAGATCATCTAGTCCAATCCTGCTGCCGGAGCAGGAACACCTAGATAAATTTACAAAGGAACATGTCCAGGCGGGTTTTGAATGTCTCCAGAGAAGGAGACTCCACAACCTCCCTGGGCAGCCTGTTCCAGTGTTCTGTCACCCTCACTGAGAAGAAGTTTCTTCTCAAGTTTATGTGGAACCTCTTGTGTTCCAGTTTGTACCCATTACCTCTTGTCCTATCATTGTTTGCCACTGAGAAGAGCCTGGCTCCATCCTCGTGACACTCCCCCTTTATATATTTATATACACTAATAAGGTCACCCCTCAATCTCCTCTTCTCCAAACTATAGAGACCCAGCTCCCTCAGTCTTTCCTCATAAGGGAGATGCTCCACTCCCTTAATCATCTTAGTTGCCCTGCGCTGGACTCTCTCCAGCAGGTCCCTGTCCTTCTTGAACTGAGGGGCCCAGAACTGGACACAATATTCCAGATGAGGTCTCACCAGGGCAGAGTAGAGGGGAAGGAGGACCTCTCTCGACCTACTAACCACCCCCCTTCTAATACACCCCAGGATGCCATTGGCCTTCTTGGCCACAAGGGCACAGTGTCGGCTCATGGTCATCCTGTCGTCCACTAGGACCCCCAGGTCCCTCTCCCCTACACTGCTCTCTAACAGGTCGTTCCCCAACCTATACTGGAACCTGGGGTTGTTCCTGCCCAGATGCAGGACTCTACACTTTCCCTTGTTATATTTCATCAAGTTATTCCCCGCCCAACTCTCCAGCCTGTCCAGGTCTCTCTGGATGGCAGCACAGCCTTCTGGCGTGTCAGCCACTCCTCCCAGCTTAGTGTCATCAGCAAACTTGCTGATAGTACACTCAATTCCCTCATCTAAATCATTGATGAATATATTAAATAATACTGGTTCCAGTACTGACTCTTGAGGCACTCCACTAGATACAGGCCTCCAACTAGACTCCGCCCCATAGACTACAACTCTCTGGCTTCTCTCCTTCAGCCAGTTCACAGTCCACCTCACTACCCGATCATCCAGACCACACTTCCTCAATTTAGCTGCGAGGATGCTGTGGGAGACTGTGTCAAACGCTTTGCTGAAGTCAAGGTAGACCACATCCACTGCTCTGTCATCATCCATCCACCATGTTATTTCCTCATAAAAGGCTATGAGATTGGTCAAGCATGACTTCCCCTTGGTGGAGCCATGTTGACTGCTCCCCATAACCCTCTTATCCTTGATATGCTTTAAGATGGCACCAAGGGTAAGGTGTTCCATCACTTTCCCAGGAATGGAAGTGAGGCTGACTGGTCTATAGTTATCCGGATCCTCCTTCTTGCCCTTTTTGAAGACTGGAGTGACATTTGCTTTCCTCCAGTCCTCAGGCACCTCTCCCGTTTCCCAAGACTTGGTAAAGATGATGGAGAGCGGTCTAGCAATGACCTCCGCCAGTTCCCTCAGCACCCGCGGGTGCATCCCATCTGGACCCATGGATTTATGGATATCCAGATTGCTCAACTGGTCTTTAACCCATTCCTCATCGACTAAGGCAAACCGCTCCATTGACCTGACTTCATCTGAGGTCTCAGAGGTACAGGGCTCTTCAGGACTGCCTCCAGCAGTGTAGACAGAGACAAAGAAGTCATTCAGTAACTCTGCCATCTCTGTCACCAGGGGACCCATCCCGTTCATCAATGGGCCTACATTGCCTCTGGTGCTAGTTTTATCTGCCATGTATTTGAAAAAGCTCTTTCTGCTGTCCTTGACCCCTCTCGCCAGCTTTAATTCCACGGAGGCCTTAGTCATCCTAGCTGCCTTCCTACATCCTCTAGCAGCAGCCTTATATTCCTCCCAAGTGGCCAGCCCCTCCTTCCATGACCTGTAAACTCTCCTCTTCCACTTGAGCATACCCAGCAATTCCCTGTTTAGCCACGCAGGTCTCCTGGCCCTCTTCCTTGACTTCCTACGTGTCGGGATGCTCTGATCTTGAGCTCGGAAAAAGCAGTCCTTGAATGCCAACCATCTTGGGCCCCTTTACCTTCAAGCAGCCTTGCCCATGGGATTTCCCCTAGCAATTGCTTGAGAAGGCCAAAGTTTTCCCTGCTAAAGTCCAGGGTTGCAATTCTACTTGCTATGCTACTGGTCCTACCACACAAGATCCTGAATTGCACCATCTCGTGGTCGCTGCAACCAAGGCAGCCCTCAACCTTCGCTGGTTCGACCAGATCCTCCTTGTTAGTGAGGATGAGATCCAGCAGCGCACCTCTCCTGGTTGGCTCATCCACCATTTGCATGAGGAAGTTATCATCTATACACTGGAGGAACCTCCTGGACTGTGGCTGGGTTGCTGAGTAGTCCTTCCAGCAAACATCAGGGAAGTTAAAATCCCCCACAATGACCACAGCCTGTGACTGTGAGGCCGCTCTCAGCTGCCTGTAGAAGGCCTCGTCAACTTCCTCACCCTGACCTGGTGGCAACAGTATCGCCCCTGCCAGCCTGCCCCTAAATTCTCACCCACAGACTCTCAACTCGCTCATCATCTGTCCCCGGACAGAACTCAACGCATTGTAGCTGCTCTCGCACATAAAGAGCAACCCCACCACCCCACCTGGCTGGCCTGTCTTTCCTGAAAAGGACATAGCCCTCCATGACTATATTCCAGTCATGTGAGCTGTCCCACCACGTCTCTGTAATTGCCACCAGATCATAATCTCCCGACTCAACACAGGTTTCTAGCTCCTCCTGCTTATTTCCCATGCTGTGCGCATTGGCGTACAGACATTTCAGGGAGCGAGCTGAGCACACCGATTTCACCCTAGAATTATAGGAGGCCTCCCAGTCTTCATCAATTCTGGAGTGCTGTCCCACTGAGGCAAACCCAGCTACAACCCCATCCCCCTTCGAATCTAGTTTAAAGCTCTCCAAATGAGCCCTGCTAATGCGTGCCCCAGCATCCTTTTGCCTCTGTGAGATAAACCTTTCCCACGTGCCATTGTCCAGACTGGTGCCCTATAAAACCAGCCGTTATCAAAGAATCCAAAGCCCTGCCTTCACCACCAGCCTCGAAGCCAATTGTTTATAGACTGAATTTTCCCATTCCGTCCCACGTCATCAATGGAAGATGGAAGGAGTGAGGAGAAGATCACCTGAGCCCCAGAGTCTTTCACCATTCGCCCCAAGGCCCTGTAGTCTTTCTTCATCTCCCTCAGACTGCGGGAAGCAACATCCCCCTCACCCATCTGGAAGACCAGCAGCGGGTAGTAGTCTGTCGGGTGCACCAGGTTGGGGAGCGCCCTGGTGATATCCCTGATCCGGGCTCCAGGCAGACTACACACTTCCCTATGATGAGGGTCAACTCTGCATATCGGGCCCTCTGTTCCTCTCAGAAGGGAATCACCTACTACAATGACCCTTCTTTCTTTCTTATCAGAGGCAGTCTCCAGGTGTGAAGTCGACTGCCTTTTCCTACGTGGCCTTGTAGGCGGGCCTTGCACCACATCCTCACCTACCTCTCCTTCAAGATCCAGGGCCTCAAACCTATTATGGATGGACACCTGGGGAAGCAGTGCAGGAAGGGAGGAGGGTTGCCCACGACGCCGAACTGGAACTCGCTTCCAACCCTCCTCATCTTTTTGGTCCCCTACCTCCAAGCGACAGCTACAGGGCAGGGGCTGTCTCGGGCCATCCCCCTCTGTCTGAGAGGGAAGGGGGTTCATCCCCTTTTGGGGGGTATCTCCCTGGAGCCGTTCCAACTGGCCAGCCAGGGAGTTACTCCAGCAGTCGATCTCCCTTTCACACTCCCTGATGGTCCTCAGCGTCTCAACCTCCTCGTTAAGTTTAGCCACCAAGCTAAGCAGATCTTCTACCTGCTCACACCTCACACGGGTGGAATGCTGTCCTCCCTCCCCCGGCAGTAGCAGGCTCTGGCACTCCCTGCATCCAGAGACCTGCACAGCCACGGTTAGGGTCGGGGTCTCTGTCTGAGTTGCTACAGTCTTCTTACTGCTAGCTCTCTTTCTGGAGGCGACCATATTGGTCAGCAACACGACCTACTTGTTATTCCCTGCACCTGGTGGGCAGCGATATGTCGCTGCCCTCTCAAAGGCTCTTTCAAGTCAAGGGGCAGGGAGGTGGTCACCGTCACCATGGGAGCACCCCCTGCCACGTCAGCCACTCTCTCGCAAGGGCTGCTGGGGTTTCGGGGATTGGGAAATGTCGGGAATTGTGATGCCTCTGCGCTATCCCCTCTGATTTTCCTAATCTCAGTTGAACCTCGTGGACGTTGAAGCGTGCTGGCTATATATACTCCATTTATACTTACGTATAATTTCTTTGACTGAAATAGACTGCAAAAAATATTGAATGTTGTTGTCATCTTGCTGTAGTATCCAATGAAATTTAATTTAATCAAAGTAGGTAAAAAGATGATTTTCTTTTACAACAGCTCCAGAAGCACCAGAAAACCTTACAGTAATTTCTGAGGCCAGACATGTATCTGTTACATGGGAGAAACCTAGAGACATTTCAAAGGGTCCTGTAGATGGTTATTTAGTGACATGCAATGACAGAGGTAAGTATAGGCCCCCTCAGTATTCAATAATTCACTGCATGTTTTAACATTTACAGAGCATTAAGCATGATGCACTGTCATTCCATTTTAGAATCTCTTCAGACTGTGCCTTTTTATTTTTTCTTTTGGTGCAAATGTGTTTTTTTTTTCGTCAAGGATATTCCAGTTGAACCCTCTGGCTATTCAGTTTACCATTTCAGGACACAATTCTGTCACCATTCAGTTCTCATGCTTCTTGTGTTAAGAATAAGTTGTCATAAGATTATCAGCAGCCTGATTAGTTTGTAGCATGGTGCTCTCTGTCTCAGAGAAAGCAGCTATTGCTGATTAATATATTCTCTGAGAAGTCACGAATTGGCCTGCTAAGTAAGAGCTATGTATGTAAAAGTTGGGTCCCAAGTATGGCGGTTAGTGTAAACATGTTTAGAGAGGTAAAGCCAGGTTGTTGTCTTCTACTAAACGGTCACTTGTTTCAGATATGCTGGATTAGGCCATCTTGCATCTAGATGGACAAGCTTGTATCCATTATGCTGGGACCATATTTTCCAGGTCTGAGCTTTTCTTCAAAACAGGACTGGAAAATGATGTTTTGAAAATGAAGAGCCTGATAGATGATTCCAGGAAATATATGTCAGGTTTAAGCCAGTTCTGAGTTAATTTATTCTTTCTCTTAACATACTAGATGTTTTGTAAACCTGGACTGCCACAGAAAATGAAATGCTGTCATGTTCCTGTGCTTCCCAGATATAAATCATCTCTTCCATTCATTGTGCCCTGAATTTGATCACTCCTCAAAAGAGTGGCAGCCTCATGCACCAGTTTCTGTGGTTTGTCTGGCTTGGCCAGTGTAGGAGACCAGCGTAGTATGCTGGGGTGCAGGGAGGTCACAACTGAAGCAGCCAGAATGAAACCTGGAAGGGCCATGCTCGCCAGTTCCCCAAGCCACCAAAGCCCCATACTTGCTCAGTTTAAAGAGTGACTTTTGACATCTGTTTATGAACCCGTAAACTGAACACAGACAAAAGTATCAGTGTCTCCTTATTAGTCTGTTTTATGCTAGTTTTTAATTGCAGCCGTTTTAATGAAATACTGAGAAAGTAAAAAAAAAAAAAAAGGACAATAAATTCAAATGGAAAAAACCCACCAACTTTCTACATTTTTGGCAGGGGAATGCATTTTTCTTCTTCCTGAGCTTTCACTTTGTATTAGTAAGCAAGACAAACTAATGAAGTAATGAAGTACAAGGGAATTAAAACAGAAGTACATATGCTAGTGGTTCCAGGTACTTCTGATGAAGTGTGAGAGTTCCTGTGCTACTAACATAAATTTCATTCACTAATTTAATTTTTGTTTGTTTTTTTTTTTCTCAAAGAGGAAAAACTTGTCAACAAGACTAGCCATATTTGCCATGAATTGGAACCATATACCAATGGTTCTGTGTCTGTGACACCATATACCCGAAGCACATTTAATAGGGGACTATATAGAGGAAAACCAGGAAGATGTAACTTTAGAACAAAATCAGCAGGTAAGTCACTCGTTTCCTAACTGTTATGAACAAGGCTGATAGCAACACAGAGAATATGTACTTTCTTTTTGTACTTCATTATATTTTATATGTGCTACTGTTATTTGCCAAGAATCTTCAGATGTAGAGCCTCATACTGATTTAATTCCTTCTTTGAATTAAAAAAACACCCCACAAAACACCACAATCCCCAAACCCACCCAAACCCCCATTTTTATCTAAAATCTTCCAGTACTTTTTTAATCTCTACTTCCACCACCTCCAGACTCAGCTAATATACAGTTATAAGGGAACTATGATGGTTTAATACCTAGTAAGATACTAAATTTTTCCTTTAATTTCACTAAATGAAGAAAAGATCAGGGTTTTTTTTTTAGTGAAAAATTAAATATTCCTTTTGTGCTAGTGATGTCATTATAGTTTGTAGAAGTGGTTTGTTGTTGTGTTTTTGTTTTTTTTTTTTGTTATGCTTCTTTTTTTCCTCTCTCTCAGCTGTTTCAACAATTGATAACATGATACTATTTCAGATACTAAAATATGCTAGTAACCCCTGGTAGGAAACCTCATTTACAGACATTCTGAAACACATACTGAAGCTTTAAAACATATACTCACACAGAAAGCTGTTTGTTCCCCTGTCTTTTCTGTTGTCCCGTGATTCTCAAATAAGAAAGTGATGTCAGATGCAAAAGAGAGAGTTGAGATCCTTATCTTTGCAGCCTGTCAGTAGAGTTCTAATCTTCCCAGCCTTTTCAGTTTCACTTCACATCTTTTCAGTTTCAGTTAAACCTATGGTTCATTCAAAATTGATTTTATTGATCTTGTTAAATTGGGATTGAAATTTTTGAGGAATAAAATGTTTGAAATTATTAAGAGAAAAGATGACAGACAGACATTAATAGATACAGCTGTTGAAATGTTTGGTTTGAAATTATGAGAATAGAACCAGTAACACTTTTTTTGTTAACAGAACCACAGCAAGTGATCGATGTTAATGCAACACTGACAGCTGATAATGCTGTCCAAATTAAATGCAAAAATCAACAAGTGTATGGAGCGCAAAAAATATTTGAATTGACTTGGGAAAATGATGGAACAAATGAATCCAGACATGAGTGTGATTTTAAAAAAGAAAATCTGTCATACTTAACAAACTATACATTTACGGTAAGTAGGCTTAATATATTAAGTATATAAAATATTGTGTCGTGGTTTAAAACCAGGACATATTGCTGTGTTTTCCTTGTTTAAGTGTATTATACTTGGGTTTAGGAAAAGCAAATATTATGTCAGAGGAATTTCTTTGTGGGTCTGTAGGCCACACATGTAAAGAAGTAGCTACTGCCTTGGAAACAAAATGCATATGTGCCTAGCCTATCAATCAATCAATCAATCAAGCAAGCAAGCATTCCCTTGTGTGCTATTCCACATAGGTTCTGACTGCATGAAAAATACAAGCTGAATAGATTCTTTGGACTTGGGACAGAGAGAAATTTGGGTTTTCCATAAGTTTTAAAATAGTTTCCTAAGTATAACTGATATTTCCGTGTTTAAAACACATTTCACTTAATGTCATTTCCATCAGAGGATAAATATGGGATTTAGGTCTTGAGATAATTGCTCAGAAATAAATTGTTCAGTATTTTTCATGTGAAGACTTTTCATGCTTCAGGGACTGGTTAGTGTAAAGCAGTTCAGATCCTTTCCCAGTTGTTATTTCCATGCAAAATATATCATCCTCTGTTTACAAGCTTGACTTTCCTGAGGGCCTCCTGCTATTTTCTGTTTTTTGAGGCATTTCATCCCTTCAGCATTTGTTGTTTGCAAAGCCAATGGTTTTATGTGGCCCCCATAATGTGGCCACTAAGAATATTTTTCATGTCCTGGTAGCAATTCTCCATAAAGTCTAGACAAAAAAAAAAAAGCAGGAATGATGGAATTTTATTACTTTCAGAAACCAGTTTCTTTCATTTTTCACAATCTTTTCCTCTTTTCTCTATGTTTTCCTGAGAAAATGAAGTATCAGAGAACTTGAATAGTTTAGGTTTTGTTCCAAGACTTTGTCAGTATTTTTGCAAGAGATTCTGCTGAAAAAGCTTTGTATTTGGAAAATAAAGACAAGGTCCTGTAGGATCAAGAAATGCTTGCATTGCCCTCATAGTACGAGACCCCTGCACTCTTTTGAGCTTTTTGTACACCAGTTGCAGTGAACAGTTTGCTTTATAGAAGAAATTATCTTCTGCTTGGCTCTAACCCCTGGCTTCTGCTTTTACCTTGTTTTGTCCAATTCTCACTGGAAAAAGAGAGAAAGCTTTATGGCCTTAACTAGTAGTGAAAGAATTCTGGGTCAAGTTCTAGAGCACTCAAGAAAAAAACAACAAACAGATCACCTGTGAGAGTTGGCAGATGTCACGATTTCCTTCAGTCTGGACTGGATTGTTCAGGGAATAAACAGGAGCCTACCTAGGATACTTTTGGTTTAGTGATGTTTTGACCCTAATTGCAACTTAAAAGATTCAATAAATGTAATATGTATTATGCAATATCAACACATTCACATGCAGTTAGTGTTTTACCACCAATTAAAATACCTCAAAGTTAACGTTACAAGACAGCAGCTTATTTGAAAATTTATTTTGGCTTCTATAATTCAAACTTCTAGGAATTACTTCCCATACAGGAACTTTTATTAAAAATATCCTACTCTGTTGATTATTTGTATATTTACTGTTGAAGCAAATAAAATAATGATGTTTAATTATATATTGCATGATTAATTTTCAGGTTTGAGGGATTTGGTAAGAGATAATTTGATTTCTTCCTTGAGATATACTTAGTACTTATTTTATAAAATATGTCTCTTATTTCACTAACCAGCCAGTCATCTACATATTTTTTGATTTAGATCTTTTTATGACTTAGGTAGAAATCTGAGCTGCACCACAAACGGCTGTACAGAGATTGACAGCAGATCTTGCTGTCAATGAGGTTGATTCATTGAAAATAGACGGATGCATTTTGAATATCCATTGTACTTCATTTTTCTTAAGAAACTTTATGCAGAAATTTTGACTTGTTATATCTTATCTTTGTTATTCTCACCCACTGCATGCAGATCTTGGTGTTTAATGGAGAGTATAGAGGGCAGCCCGTAAAGACAAGTATAAAAACCAGATGTAAGTAAATATATACAGCATTTTTACTTTTAGACTTTAGCAAAGTATGAATAGTGTAAATTGTGAATTGTTACAATTACTCCTAATTAAAAGTCCAAGCTGTCTGTTTTTATACTTATTAGTTGATCTGCACTTGAAAAAATAATATCCTCACTCAGCATTAACAGACCATTTTGACAAGTCATTAACTGTAATTCAGAATTATTACACAGCTGTGGTTTCTTCAGGAAACTTTCAAGTGCAAATGGAAATTAATTTCTCTAACTTAAATTATTCACTTCAGGAATATTTTCCTGTGTTCAGATCCTGTATTTCAGGAGCTGAACATCTGAGAGGAAACAAGCATGGTAGTGCTGAACCAGTGACTGAGTTTTAGCATTTTGACAGATGGATATGGATAGCTTAAATGAAAGTTTTCTTAATGAAAAAATAAAGTTACTTTATTTTCTTCGAGCTTAAAAGGTTTTGGCACTTTGGAATAACAAACTTAAATTAAACCACTGAAAAATAATTATTTAATTACATTAATTATGTATTGAAGAAATAATAATTGTATTCTTTTTCTGTTAGATAATTCTAAAGCCCTGATTACATTCTTGGTGTTCTTGATCATTGTGACATCAATTGCTTTACTACTAGTTCTGTACAAAATCTATGGTCTACACAAAAACAAGCTCAGGTAAGTTTAATATTTCTTGCTCTCTCTCATATAAATGGGGGTGTGGTGTATGGGCTTTCTGGTTTTCCACAAGGTTTCCCAATCAGTAGTGCAAAAGTGTTACAAATTTGATATTTTATTAAAATGGGAAAATACATCCTTTTACCTTTATTTTTAAAAAAACCCACAATTTATGGTATTTTGTCTGGCAACACAAATACAATGAAGTAGATTTAAAATCTCTCTGCTATAGCCTTTCTCTGCACACAAGAACCTATCTGCTAGAACAAAATCTTTTGTCACTAGGTTTGTGAAAAAAATATGCACAAATACTGAAAAACCTTTCCTTCACATTTTAAGCTTACAGTATTGAAAATAATGCATGCTTTCTTGGAACTCTTTCAAATGCGTATTGACCAGAAACAATATCTCAGGGAGGTGTCGGTTATTGTAGTCATCTAGGTGATGTGGCAGTTCTGTAGGTAAGAGAGGATGGTAATAGAAAAATGGTTGTTGCCTTCCCTGATAACTGTGCCCTGGAAAGCCAGGCTGACTGCTGCTATTGCTGTGGAAGGAGGTGGTACAATGTATTGAGAGGGCATTTTCTGCTAGCAGAGACAGGGGAGCTAGGGCAATTTTTTTCAGGAACCTCTCAGCCCTCTGGCAACAGCAGAGCTTTGGGGACTTATCTCTTCCAACTCCTTTACCACCTCTTCACCTATTCCCCAAGAAAGTCTGGCTTGTTCTTGGCTACGTAGCATATAAAATTAATTTTGTAATGTTTTATGTATTAGGTTTCTGTCACATATTTAGCAAAAGAAACAAAGATGGTCTGAGCAGTTACTCCAGTGAAGAAATTAAAGACACACTTGCTGTAGGTGATACGGACAAAATTATGCAAGTGGTTAAGCTGTTTGATGTAGTCCCCTTGTTTCTCCCCCTCCTATGTGTAGGGCCTGCAAGTCCCAGTTGTAGTACTCTTGTTTCACAGACTGTAATGCAGTCTGCAGATTATAAACAGTCTTGGTGTTCACATACAAACCTGCTTTTATTTAACTTATGTATATGTGTTACTAGTCAGAGCTTTTACAGATACTTGTGCTTTTTACAGCAGTTCTTCTGAAGGTGTGAACCTTGTTACAGGTGAGTATCTTTACACATTTAGCAAGTGGAAATAAAATTAGTCATGTCTTGCTGCCACCTTTGGATTGCTTAAATTCGAGGTTGTATACATAGATTACAGATATCAACATAATAACAGCTCAACTGGAGGAAAAATAGCTCAAGAAAACTTTCCTGTGCACCCTTTTCAAAGCAAGAATTTAAACATACACCAATTGTTTTTTACTGTAAAATTCTGAAGGATTTGAAGGATTTCAAATCTCAAAGACTGAAACCAAACATTATGTGTAATATTTTCCAAAGTTTTCAAAGCTTCTGAAGAAAGGCAGAATCAGTCAATATCAGAAAGCTTCAAGAAAAAAATGGTTTATGACATTCAAGCCCACAGAAATTAACTACATTAAATGGGAATTAATACTGTGTTGATATTCAAATCCACTTGCTTGAACACACAGTTGTTAAAAATAATTAAATCTTTTCAATATAAATGAAAAATGTATTAATGTCTACTTAGGGATGTTAGAAGTTGTTCAATCATTGCTTTATCATTAAAGATGATACTGCATGTTATTGCAACTCAGAGAATAGGTTGGAGAAAATTTGAAGAAACAGGCAATACATGTTGTTACATTTGTTGGTTGTTTGCACAGTAATGGATTTTACCGCTGATGATAAGTGATCAGAATTAAAGTAGAAGGCAATGATATGCAACTGTTGTGGGTGTTGGAGCTGTTGCTGTGACCTGAATATGGCAATTGCCACTTTGTACATAAAGCCCTGTTAATGAAGTGTCCCTGTAGGTGACCTCCTCACTTGTTTGCAGTCAGGCATCAGAACTGAACAAGTTCAGTTGCTCCCAGGGACTGTTTGCTCACAGCTGGCTCAGCACCATTTTTTTGAAAAGTGAATGTGCTTGATTAAAATAAAGAGGTTTTCCCTTTTGTTAATTTATCTGACAATTCAAGTATCATGTTTATGGAGATGTAATTTACAAAGTCAGTAATGATAAATGTTCTACATATCTACTCAGTTAAAGATGATGATAGGCAACTTCTGAACATAGAGCCAATACCTTCAGAGCAGCTGCTGGACACATACAAGAGGAAGATTGCTGATGAAGGAAGACTTTTCTTAGATGAATTTCAGGTTTGTTATTGGCTCAAAAAATACCACAGATTCGTAGCCAACTGGTTGGAAGACTTCTTTTCAATAGCATGTTTGAAGTATTTGCACTGCTTATAAATAAATCTAGAAAATTGAGTTAATTGTTAAGATCAAATAGGCTTCAGTTAATTTTGTTACCAAGCTCTCCTCATTATAAGGTGATTTTTTTCCTGAAGGTGTTTTTCAGGAAAAGTATAAAATATACAGTTTGAATACTTCTAATTCTAAAGTACTGTTTACTAGACTTTTTTAAATGCTTTCTCTTACTGCATAGCCATACATAAATTAATATACAGGGGATATAAATAATATATAATTCTGGAAATATATATTATTTATATTAAGGGTAAGAAATTTGTTTGATTTAGATATATGAAACATATGAAGTAGTAATGCATGAAACAGAATGTTATGTTCAAGACTCAGTAGTAGTAAATTTCTTCCATTTGACTGCAAGTAGAAGCAAATTTAAATATATGTGTACCCAAGAAAAGAAACATTGTATTTTACAGAGTATTCCTAGAGTTTTCACTAAATTTTCAATAAAGGAGGCCAAGAAAAGCCATAATCAGAACAAAAACCGTTATATTGATATCCTTCCATGTGAGTATTTGCTACAGTTTCTGTATGTTTTATAAATATTTATGTTCTCAGTGCTTTGAGATAATTTTTTAAATTGTTTTTAAATGATTTAAACAGATGATCATAACCGTGTTGAGCTCTCAGAAATCCCAGGGGACCCAGGATCAGACTATATCAATGCAAGTTATATTGATGTGAGTGATTTCTGATTAAAAAGTCTTAGGCACTACTGAAGAACTTCTGTAGCCTGTGTGTTTCATGCAAGCGGGTTGGAACTAGATGATCTTAAGGTCCTTTCCAACACTGACTATTCTATGATTCTATGATTTCTGTTTGATTTCTTTCCCTCTCTGTAATGTATTGAGTATCATTGCACTGTTTTATATTGAATTTATTTTTAAATTTGCAAATCTTTTAAATTGTTTTTACTTCCTTTCTAAGAGTTGATAACATTGTACTTTGTTACAGGGTTTTAAAGAACCAAGAAAATACATTGCTGCACAAGGTATTTTTTAACCTTAAAAGAATATGCTTTATTCACCATTTTTTGCTAGAGAGCAGTAAAAAAAATTAGTAATTTTATAGAAAAATTGAAAATCTGAAATTCTGAAATTTAATATGAAAAAGTTTGCCAATGAGTTTTTGCTTAGGCAATTTTATGCAGATTGTAGACTTCTCATGATGTATAATTTTACACCATAAGTTTTCAGACTTCTCAGCTATGCAGTAAAGATCTATATGAGACTTCTAAAATGTTGTAGCCTAACGGCAACAGTCATAATGAAATCAAGCATGTGGCTGTTATTTGTGTGACCTCTGGTTAGCTTTTCAGACTGAATGACTATGCATGTCAAGAAGTCAAGTGTTTTTTCACGTAGCTGTGCTCTGAAAAACTCCCTTTTAATACCTCCCACTAGGCCCTAAGGATGAAACCACAGATGATTTCTGGAGAATGATCTGGGAACAGAAGGCAACAATTATTGTCATGGTGACTCGCTGTGAGGAAGGAAAGAGGGTGAGAAATATCCATCCATCCATCCATCCATCCATCCTTCCATCCATCCATCCATCCATCCATCCCTCCATCCATCCATCTTTTGTCTGAAAACTGAATGGGTTGCTGTCCTGTGGTGAATTACATTTTCTTCATAGTACATTATTTTCATTCTTTGCTGTTCTCTCATTGTGGCAGAACTTATTTTGGAGAGCATGCCAAAATATTGTGCTGTCTTGTGGAATTACCAGTCTTATCAGAAAATGTCACTTTAGTCCCAGCTTTGATTAGCAGAGGGTGAGCTTCCAACTTACAACTAATAAATCCAGAAAAGGGCTCAAGATAGAACTATAGCTCCTCATAGACCTGTCATAAAAGGTATTGTTTTTATTTTTCTCCTGTCAACTATCTTCTGATATCCTGGCAATGCCCTCAGTAAATTCTAGACAGAATATATATTTTTGTTTAATCTGTTGTCTTTGCTCTTCCTTTATCTGAAAGGTTGGGTGTTTCTGGCTTGTTTTTGTTCCTTATTCTATGTACAGCAGGAAGAAGGGCAACTGCTGTTTTAACTGCTTTAAGAGATTAAAATACTGGCAGCATGCACATTTACAGCATCCCCAGGCAGATGTTTTAGGTAGACAGAAGTGACATCCCTCACTGAAGACTCAAAAAGAAGCCATAGAAGTAGCTGCAAACTTTTCTGCAGCCTTCAGGCAACAGCAGCAATGACTGTTCACTTTTTCAAGTAGTGCACATGACTCTTTTACCTATGATATTTTCCAAGTTAAATTCCAGGGGCATAAACTTCAGGCCAGAGACTTACATTTTTGGATATTTGGAAATATTTAACACTGACATCCTAAGCAGTGACAGCCTTTTCAGGGAGAAGAAAATACCTGAGAGAAGTTGGAAAAACTGTGCTGAATTGCCATCTGTTTTAAATTAGACTTTCCTCTAGCTCTCAGCTCTCTGCCATTTTGCTATAGTGCTGGTCAACTAACTTCATCTCTTCATAGAACAAATGTGCCCAGTACTGGCCGTCAATGGAGGGCGGCTCTGCAACATATGGGGACATCATTGTGAAGATCAATGAAAGTAAAACGTGTCCAGACTATGTAATTCAGAAACTACACATCACAAATGTAAGTTGATTCAAAAGTGTAAGACTGGCACGGGAGCATCTATTTGGAGTCTGTAGGTATTGTTGAGAAATCCTTCTAGGAGAAGAGTCAGCTATCAATGGATGATGCTCTGCTGTTTTTTCCTAAGCAACATATAATTCAAGAGGAAACTTCTTAGATGGTGTCATTCCTTAAAGAAATAGGAGTTAGACATATATTTCCAAACTTAAAAATGTATTTTTCTTCCTACTTTGGTATCTATATTTAAGAGGAAGCTGTTAATATGCTGTTAAGCATGGAAAACTTAATACACTGTGATTGCCTTAGATATTTAGCCTGTGCTTTAACATAGAAATTTTACTGGTTTATGTGTATCTCGGAATAACCTTCTGCAAGTAAAATCAATGTGACTCACAGAGCACTGTTATCTACCCTAGTGATAATTATACAGTGGGACAATTACAAATTCAGGTAATCTCAATTGCATTTATAAACATGTTTAAAATTGCCATTTGGCTATGTGTAGAATTGTTAAGGCTGGTTAATTGCTTTGTTTTAGACATCTGAAATCACAATTACTTTTCTGTGTGTAATTTGTAATTTGTGTGTAAAAGTCTGAGATGCAGTTTAATTAATTAATTAATTAATTAATCTATTGTAATCTCATCAGGCTACTTTTAGGAGACATAAGAAAATTACCAACCTGTACCCCTTGAAGTAAACAGGGCTATACACTGGCCAAGTTGTTTATGAATAGAGTGGGAGATATATTCAGAACCATAGGCTAACCTGAGAAAAAAGTATTTTTAGCAACACTTTGAACAAATTGCTTGTTCTTTGTATCCTTGATTCATGGATATTTTAAAATTAAAATTGAATATGAAAAATGTCATAATCTGGAGTCCATTGCGATCATAATATTACAACTCACTTAAATTTCTTTTTCAGCATTTGAAGACCATTGCTCTTATTTTTCTTCTGCTTTGTATATCTGCACTTGATTTTGGCTTTCTGTATATATATACATACATATGCATATACTCTCTATATAATATATATAATTTTATATATATCTAAAACCCACACTTCACTTTGTCTAGGGAAGAGAAAGGACAGCTGGAAGAGATGTCACTCATATTCAGTTCACAAGCTGGCCAGATCATGGAGTTCCTGAGGATCCACATCTCCTTCTCAAACTTCGACGCAGAGTTAATGCTCTCAGCAACTTTTTTAGTGGCCCAATAGTGGTTCATTGCAGGTAGATATGTTACATTTTAAGTGTTGTTAATGTTAAATGAAGTGATGCTGTTCAGAAAAGACCTGGCAAAGGTATTTGGCTGATCCCAGATTTTGTGACTTGATTACTTGAGAGTGAGGCACTCACAGATACATAAAAAGGCCTGTTTTCTGAATGATCTGAAGGATATTCAGATCAATAAAATCTGAGAATACACAGACTTTTGGACTTCTGGAAAACAGGCAGATAAACATTTTGCTTTTCTGGCTACAATCATCATGATTGGCAGTATTTGCCTTACTTTCATTAAAAAATACTTAAAATACAAATTCATCGTTGTTTCTGTTGCCGCTTAATTTACAGGAAGAACTATTTTCAGTTGCTTAATATCCTGTTGTTACACTTTTTGCCTTTCACTCCCTCACTGACTCTTCACCTCTCAAGAGTGGGACTGGGACTTGATCACCCAGATAACTTTCTTGATAACCAGATCTGTTTCTGCCTTGCAGTGCTGGTGTTGGGCGCACCGGGACATATATAGGAATTGATGCCATGCTGGAAGGGCTGGATGCAGAAGGCAGAGTGGATGTTTATGGCTATGTCGTGAAGCTTCGTCGGCAGCGATGCCTTATGGTTCAAGTAGAGGTATCTTGCTAGAATTCCCGTCACTTAGAACTGTTCTCTAGGGCTTCATCAGTATTTCTTAGAGGTGCACTGCTCAATCTTGGGTACAGCTATAGTTCATTTGAAATTGTTCTTAGAAAATATAGCTCTGAAAAATATGGGGAGATAAAAACTTCCAACACATTTTTAGTTTTATAAGCTTCAACATTTTAAGTTTAGGCTTTAAAAAAGGAAAGCAAGAAGATCTTAGATTTGGTAATCCAGCTTTTGCCACAGAGTTCACAAATGCAAAATTGAGCTTGCATAGTTAAACTTACTTTTCAAATTCTAAAAACTGTCTAGGTGGGATGTTCAGCTGAGTTGAGAATATAACAAAAGTTATGGACTTATGTAATGCATGTTTTTAACTTATTTAAGCATTTTGCAGATCTTTTAAATCTCAGTTGCATATTTCTTGAATGTCATTACATTTATTTGCAGAGCACTTTTCATCCAACACACTAAATGTGCTCCAAAATGTCTAATTTGGATTTTTTATAGATCCAAAGTGTCTGATTTTTTTATATTTTTATTTAATGCTTATTTAACATTAATGCTTAATATTATTATCACTAGTACCATCATTGGAATAATAGTTTATCATAATGGTTTTAAAAAGTGGTATGAATTTGTTGGTTTTTTGTTTGTTTTTATCGTGTTTTTTTTTATTTACTGTTTAACAACATCATTTTTAAAACCTTCAAATGGGAAACACCAGTCACAGTACATCCTTATCCATCAAGCACTAGTGGAATACAATCAGTATGGAGAAACAGAGGTCAGCCTATCAGAACTGGATTCCTATCTTAACAATCTGAAAAGAAAAGATCCTCCGAGTGATCCTTCTCTGCTGGAGGCAGAGTTTCAGGTAAGTAATCATTGCATTCTGGTGCCATTGCCTCCCATTTCCATTAGAAAATGCCTTGCACAATAGTCATGAGAGAGAGATACCACACGCTTCATCTATCACTGTTGTGCTGTTTTATCTCTCTGGCACAGAAATTTTCTTTACCTTCATGAAAAGATAAGTAAAGTAAGAAAATTTAATTCCTGCTTTTGATGTTAGTATTTTCAACAACGGTAGTTATCTTTGTCGTATAATATATAACAAAGATATAATACATATGCTTCTCTGTGGAGCATAGAATGATTACTTATATCTATGTGCATGATTTCCTGTACCATTGTACATGGTATGACAGGCATTTTTAAACTATAGTACAGATGTAACCAAAGTTCAAAGAATTAAAATAAGAAGTGACTGGATGTTGGTGTCCAGAGGGGACAACTATCCCAGGAGCCATTTTAATCAAGCATAATGCGGAACATACTTTTTCTTTAGAGATTACCTTCCTATAAGGGGTGGCGGACACAGAACACCGGGAATCGTGAGGAAAATAAAAGCAAAAATAGGAATGCCAACATAATTCCATGTAAGTATTTTTCATAAACTCTCCCTTATTTTCTCTGTTATTTTCTGTAAGAAAACCTACTAAATTTTGAAAACAATTAGGACAGTAAATTACCTTATTGAGATGTATTTGATTATTTAATTTTTCTCAACACTGTAAAATTAGGAATTTCTCATAGTAATTTAAAAAAGAAATTAGGTTTTTAAAATATGCATTACTGGTTGTATATATTTCAAAAAAGGCAGCCTTTGTTCTGAACTCTGTTTTGAAAGATTAGCCTTTTTCTATATATTTCCCCCTGCTGCACATGCAGGGACAGCCCCCCACTAACATTACGCCTTAGCAACAGCGTGGCATGATGGTGACACTTTGTCTCATGCAGATGACTTTAACCGAGTACCAATCAAGCACGAAGATGAATGCAGTAAGGAGGGTGAACATGATTCAGATGATTCCTCAGATGAGGACAGTGACTGTGAGGAATCAAGCAAATACATCAATGCTTCCTTTATAACTGTATGTATTTAGAAGATGTACTATAAGTATTTCACAAACTTTTAGCTAAAAGTATATTGTCGCTTGTGCTCTTACTCTTTTGCCTTCGCATATAGAATAGGATTTACCTGAATGGGAAAGAAGTTCTGACAGTCAATTGGAAAATCCGTTTATAGTTTTAATCATCAAAATCTTCTACATTTTGCTGAAGTAATAAGATGAATCTTCTCACCCTACATGGTCTTAGTCTGTGCAATCTTAAATAGTGAGATTAAACACAGAAAATGTCTTTTTTTTTTTCTTTCCCCACATATGTGTTATGTTTAAAACCACTAACTTTCCAAGTGGCCTTATGATAACAGGTATTTACAGTAGTGCGCACCTGCCTACAAGTTGTTTCATACTGCTCTTTTCCCTATTAGTGAAATATGAGTATAGTTATTCACATATACAAAATTTTACTACTGAAAATTGGGGCCATCAATTTTTTGGTATCATATATACCTCCAAAAGAAGAAGAGAAGTTATTAATCGTGAATGGTGTAACTAATTTTAATGGAATTGCTAGGTAAATTGGGTAAAGCTGAATGCTTTAAAATGCTGCAAAGTTATGATATTCAGAGTAAATATATTTTTTTTACTTTTGGGTAGTTCAGTGTGAACTGGCTGGTGCTCCAACTTTGTGTGGTATAAACTCAATTTCTTAGTGGTTTTAGCCCTTAAAAAATATGCTTTGCAGAAAATGGCAGGGTGAGGTCTCACCCACTGCAGCATGAGTATACCTTGCTGTCAGTCTGGAAGTGATCCTGCTGTTAATGGAGTTGTCATTTGACTCATAGAATTCCTGTAAAACCATTGCCTACCCTGATAGGCATACTTTCCCTATAAAGAAAAGGGTTCAGTAGTTTATTTCATAGGCTGTTATTTAAATTATGAATTCTTTGCTTGATGATCACATTTAAAATTAGTTTAGGAAAAAAATTAAAAACTTCTTTTATAGGGTTACTGGGGTCCGAAATCCATGATTGCAACACAGGGACCACTGCAGGAAACTATCTCTGACTTCTGGCAAATGGTCTTCCAAAGAAAAGTCAAAGTCATTGTTATGCTGACAGAGCTGAAAGAAGGAGATGAGGTGAGGGCATTGTCTTCACAGTGGCACATAAAGGGTCCTCTATAAGCAAAGAAAATACTGCACAACACTCTCTCATTCCTTTCCTCCAATTCATTGTTTCATAGGATGAGGAATTTGCATTTCTGATATTATTTGTTCTATTATTTACCTTCTTAATTTACTTTCTAATGGGTTTTTTTGAGGGGAAGAGTGTATGATGGTATATTTTAAAATACAATGACACTCCTACTACTTTATAGTCAATACCATCTGTAAGTGCATGTGGAGGATGAAATAAAAGGAGTTTTGAATGGTGGTAAGCACTGACTTGTATTTTTACCCATTTTAGGAACTCTGTGCACAATACTGGGGAGAAGAAAAACAATCGTATGATGGCATAGAGGTTCAAATGACAGATGTCAACTGTTGTCCTAGCTATACCATACGTGCATTTGATGTTACACATCTGAAGGTAGAAGTTTCTTTGCAAATTCAAAAAGGAAGTTTCAAATTTCTTTCCCTATTTCAAACTTAGCCTAAAAAAACCCAGAAGGGACAATTCCCACTGCACTTATCTCCTGCTTTAAGAAATGCAATTATTTTTCTTCTTCCAGACCAGCAGACAGTCATGATAAGTGCTATAAATTATCTCAGATTTCCCATTTAATGAATTGCTGAGATGGTGCTAGTGGAATCTCAGAAGTTCAGCTGTCTTTTGCACTATAAGCAAATCTTGAATGTCTACCTACCTTATGCTTATGAGGTAGAACTTGCATCACCATGCAGCTCCTCAGGAATATATTTTTTCTTTTGTAAATCAGCTTCAATAGATGTACTACGTGAATCTTTATTTTAACCTGAACACTGACTACAACTCTACTGATGTTTTTCAGATGAAAGAAACACAGAAGGTGTATCAATATCAGTATCACAAGTGGAGTGGCTTTGATGTTCCAGAAAACCCCAAAGATTTAGTCAGCATGATTCTCAACCTTAAACAAAAAGTTACAGTCAGACCAGTCACTGAGGACAAGAAGAATACCCGCAGTGTCCCACTTGTCGTCCACTGCCGGTGGGTCTGAATTTAGCACTTATTTAACCTAGCTCCGAGTTCTGGATATACATAGCAACCACAGTTTTGGGATGCCTACCTTTTCCCCAAAGCCTTGAATTGCTCAAGCTTGCCCTTTCTGACTGGAGTGATGGAAAGAGAGCACACTTTGGGAAGTGTGGGCTGGAGTAGGTGTTCAGAGCTAGCTGTTTTTCCCTGGTACACATATTTTGAGAATAAATACTAGGTCAGAGTGCTCTTGTAGCATACCACTAATGAGGATCCAGCAGATCTTTTAGATTCATATCTTGTTCCAGTACATAAGCTCACTTTTTTAGGACCACTTCCAGGAATAGCCTTGAATACCATCTAAACCAGAGATTAATCCTGCTAACAACTGTTGCGACTGTAAATCTAAAGCTTCTGATTTCTCTCTTACTCCTTAAGTGGCCACATAAGATCCAGGTGTCCTCTAGAAAAACTGTCTTGTGTATATTCTTAATATTAACAAAATTCTTAATTTTAACAAATTCAGTACAGCAAAATATATTTTGGAAAAGTAATTCATTATGTAGATTTTAAGTAAATCTAACATTTAGTTAGAAGATTTCATGATTTTACATTTAAAATTCATATGTACATTTTACCTCATCTTCTAGTGATGGATCACAGCAGACTGGTGTATTTTGTGCTTTAATGAATCTCTTGGAAAGTGCAGAAACAGAAGAAGTAATAGATGTTTTCCAAGTAGTAAAAGCTCTTCGTCGCACCAGGCTGGGGGTGGTCGCCACCTTTGTAAGTAAATCGTATGAATTGCCAGAAAAAAAAAATGGGATTACTTATCACACTAACATCCTTGTAGCCTTTCTCATTGGGAACACTACTTCTAATGAGAACATTCACAGCCACTCACCACTATTTGGGAACTGGCTGTTAACGATAAGAAGGAAGGAGTCTCTGAGATATCCAGAGCTGCAGTTCTATGGCACTGTGGAAGAAGGGAACATCTTATAAAATTACAAATTGCATAAATTGATGTTTCTGCAATTGCTTCAGGGATGGACGTGCACAGTGTCCCTTAACTCCTGCAGGTAAGGTGCTAGCTCTGTTTCACAGGCTAGCAGCCACCAACTTGTTTTGTTTAGGTCACTCCAGACAAATTTTGTCTCTGTGGCATACACTGTGCATTTACTAACAATCCAGACTTAGGTGTTACAATACGTGTTGTTTACAATTTGGGTACTCTAAAAAACATGGGTTTGGTACTTGTGAACCAAGAAGGTGTTAAGTGACAACTTGTAAGCAGCTACAGAGACTTTGCATACTGCCATGGCTTAACCCCAGCTGGCAAGTAAGCACAACGCATCCGCTCACTCATTCCTCCTGTGTTGAGATGGGGAAGAGAACCAGAAGAGTAAAAGTGAGAAAACTTGTGCGTTGAGATAAAGACGGTTTAATAGTTAATCAAAAGCTACACACACAAGCAAAGTAAAGTAAGGAATTCATTCATCCCTTCCCATTGGCAGGCAGGGGTTCAGCCAACTCCAGGAAAGCAGGGCTCCGTCAAGCATAATGGTTACTTGGGAAAAAAAAATGCCATCACTCTGAAAGTCCACCCCCCTTCCTTCTTCTTCCCCCAGCTTTATATACTGAGCATGACACCATATAGAATGGAAAGGGTATGGAATATCCCTTGGGTCAGTTGGCGACACCTGCCCTGGCTGTCCCCTCTCCCAGCTTCTTGTTCGCCTCCAGCATACTCAGTGGTAGAGTGGTGTGAGAAGCAGAAGAGGCCTTTGACTCTGTGTAAGCACTGCTCAGCAATAAGGAAAATGCTCCTATGTTATCAGCACTGTTTTCATCACAAAACATAGCCCCATACTAGCTGCTCTGATGAAAATTAACTCCACACCAGCCAAAAACAGCATGGCATGAAATCCAAATAAAACATAGAAGCGGTACTGTACACCAAAACCTGTGGAGCTGGCTTCATGTGCAATATTCATATTCAACTCCATGTTACATTTATAAAATTTAAGAAAACAGGGAAAGAATGGGTTTATTCTTGGGCTCTGAGCATTCCATTTGTACTAAATTTTTTTCTTTACATTTCAGGAACATTACCAATTTCTTTATGACACCATTGCCAGCTCCTACCCTGCACAGAATGGACAAATAAAGAACAGCCAACAGGAAGATAAAGTTGAATTTTGCAATGAAGTAGAAGAAACAGATCAGGAAACCGATTTGATCACTATTGATCTTATCCCACCAGCACCAGAGGAAAATCAGGCTTCTGAAGTATGTGATGAATCTAAGGCTGCAGGTAGCACTAAGGGAGCAGAAAACTCTGCAAATGGCCCCTCAGCTCCAGTTGTAACTTAGAAGCTATGAAAAAGAAACCCCAAAACAAAAGCTTTTTCATGTGCAAAAAGATTTAAGCAAAAGAAGAAGTACAAGATTTCTTCTTCTTCTTTCCACTTTTTTTTTTTTAAATGAAAACTGTTATATCAGTTTTTCAAAGGTAAAAATTTAAAGGATTACTTGAAACTTGGTGACAGTGATGACGAACTGTGAAAATTTAAGTTTTGTGTAGATTTGCATTTAATACTTCTTCAGAAACCTTTTCACTGCTTTTATACTTTTTCTTTTCAAAATATGTACAGTGTAATACTATGCTGAGCAGTGGGAAGGAATTTTTTTGACTTCTGTAACAAGGAGAAAAACAATTCAGAACAAGATGAGCATGTTGCAACAACAGGTTTGTCTTCAACAGTATTAGTAAGTAAATTAACCTAATTGGGAAGCACATATTCTAGCATTTCAGGAGTCCTAACCAAGAACTGCTTTCATAATACTCTGTGCAACTTGTGGAACTTTGCCAAATAGTCTGAAGAGCTAATCATTTACAGCATGTGGCACTTCCAAGGAATTCAAGCTGATGGAGAATCTGTAAATCCTCCCATTTCAATGTGGAATAGAAATTTCTTGCATTTTTCTAAATTGCCTCAAGGTGTCCTTGTTGCTCCACATATATTAATCAGAAATTTCAACGTTAGACTCGAAGATTTTGGAGATTGGCACTTGAATCATTGTAATCATTCTGATAGAAAACACCTCATCTTTATTCTTATGGCTTATAATACAGCGTGCTTGCACATGTTTCTTATGCTTACTGTCACTTGAAGGGACTCCCTCCATGGATGCATATGACCTGTTTTCAGAATTGGAAAATACTTGGGTGCTTTTCCTCCAAACCTTGTAGATTTTAATTGGTACAAGATTTTTTTTTTTTGTTGTTAGTTTTTCATTATGAGGTTTTCTATGTTACAGTGGTGATATTTTCACTATTTCTTGCTGGATTTTAGCCTACTGTTTTTAGAACAAATAAAAAAGGTAATAGTTGACAAGGTGGAAATTGTTTTGTTCTATTGTATTCTGCAAACTGATAATTTTCTTCTAGATGCACAAAATCTTGTGCTGTCCCATACATGGATAAAATTTACAAATTTCAATAGGAAAACATAGTTTAATTCTTAAAAAACTCTGTGTGAATCCAGGTAAGTGTGATGTTTCTTTCATTACAGAGGAAGGAAACTTCATTTTTCTTTTGCTTGAAGTCATTAAAGGAACTTTCACTCAGCAGATTAAGTGCTTCTAGTTTATCACTGCATATTCCTAATCTCTCCTTAAAAAACATAATAGAAAATACTTAGAGAGCCATGCAAACATGTGACTGTGACATGCACAGTCACACTTGGTAAAACATTGGCTGAATTTTGCTGCTACTCTAGATCAAAGATTTAATTCACAGCTATCAGCTCAGACAAGTGCTTCCTGTCAGTCTTACTTAAGTGGCAGCAAAGGGCCACAAAGGCAGTAGGATTCTCCTTGGCTGTGAGCTGAACTGCCTTTTCCACTGAAGCTGTATTAGGTGATAAACTAACGAAGTTGGGGGGGTCACCAGCAGAGAAAAAGTTCTTAAACTTAATGTGAAGATAATCTAGAACAACTATAGGCACAAATCTTGTTGCTGTTTTTAGAGGAACATGTCAAAATTGCAGCTTTAGCATACCTTTGAAGATCACACCTTGGATGCAGATTGACCCAGTGGTGCTTACCTGATGACTGAAAAACATTCATGTATTTTTTTACTGTAAAATTTTGCCACTGTAAAGCCTCTGTAGTTCAAAATAAAGAGGTGAATGCAGCTACCTGTTGTAAAATTGTGAAGGCAGAGACTAAGCCACGCTTTTAGGAATAACAGCAGGAGTTTCCCAAATAAAAAAATAGGCCCAAATTCTCATGCTGTGTTAAACCTGAGGGCACTCATATATTTCAGTTCCTTGAAAAATGTTTCTGCAGATTTTTAGGTGCTGCAGCACCCGGGCTGCAAAACTTCGGGAGGATTTTGTTTTGCTGGAATTGTTTCCTAGAATGATTTTAATGTTCTTTTCACTGTTTTTTTTAATTTTATTATGTAATGTGTGCCATATTAACACTTGATTTGTGCATGTGTTTTGAAAGAAAAACCCTGAACTATGTTAAACTTTGTCTCACACTTGTCTTCGTTATTAGCCTAATCAGAGAAACAGAGCCTTACATTAAAATTGCACTTGCATGCTTAGGTAAGCCGCTCCTGGAGTAAAGTTCCTTATAGTCACAATGGGACATACTGAGTTCTTGGCGTTTATTTATTTTCAAATTAAGTAACACTTTGTGCAATTAAATCTCATTAAATCCCAGTGTGACAATTGATGCAGCTAGTCTTAACACAGCTTAGAAGTTCTGAATGTTTGTAGGAACTTTCTATGTTCCCATGTACATACATCCCTATGTGTGTACCAGGGATGGGATTTTTCCTTCTCTTTTGCCATTTGAATTTCAAAAATCCACAAGGTGGTGACACAGAGATTGTAGAGGAAGGTCATTACACTGGATGCTCTGAGGTCACTTGGCTTATTCACTTGCAGGCTTGATGTCTCCCAGGAGCACAGTGAAGCGTATTACAGGTGAGGCGTGAAGCCCAAGCTAACAAGATCTGCTAGGAAACTGCTCTGGCTCTGTTAAGGCAAGAACAAAATTGTGGCAGGTTGGAGACTTGGCATAACCTGAAAGCTGAGAAACAAATATGAAAAGTAAGATGTAGAATGTTTATTTTCTCAAGTAGAGCTAAACTGCACAAAGACTGCTAACTGCTGCTTCCAGTTCAGAGGTAGGTGTTATTCTGAAGTGTTTTATAATCTGAACTCCAGGATAAAAATAACGTAAGAAATCAGCTGGGAGAGGACTTCAGGCAACAAACCAGTGTAATCAAGGGCTTATGTGACCAAAGAGAGTGGATTTCACCCACAATTTGCTGGGTAGAAGCTGGTAGAAAAGTGGCTATGGAAAAGTGACAGAGCTGTGTTAGTGGAGTCCAGTGTGGGAAGATGGGGAGAGGAGGGATCACAGCATTCTGCTTGGTCAGGTAACAGCAGTGGGGAATGAGCTCTGTGTTGGCTTTTGTTTAGATTTTTATGTTTCTTGTGCTTTGTAACAAACAAGGTAAATATATCAAAATATTTTTCAGAGATTGCATATTAGGAATATCAGCAATGTTGCGGTTCTTGAGATAAATGTCACAAAACGGCCAGTGCATTGAGCCATGGTGGTCAGGGGTGCCATTCAAGGAGATGACAAAAGCACCATTTCTTTCCCACACCCCAGGTTCCATTGCTGCATTTGTGCCTGCTCCTTTTCCCACTCTTACATGCAGCCAGTGTCTGTGAACTCACCCCTCTCCACTTCTAAGCTGGAAGATGCCGTGGGAGCTCGCAGCCCCTGGCATCAACGAGTTTCTGCTCCACCTGTCACTGCCCCCATTACAACATCAGCTGCGGGGGGATGTTTGCTGCAGGAGTGGAGCAAACAGTGGGGCTCAAGCTTTGTTTCAAAACAGGAAACTTAAGTTAGATCTCGCATGAGAGGCACAAGCAGAGCTGGGTAGTGATTATTGAAGGTAGGAAGGAGCTGCAAAGGGAAGTATATATGAACATCATTGGCTGTTTGTGTAAGATGGCAAAGGAAGTAAGAAAGAACAGTGAGTAAAGACAGGTGTCTCATTAAGTTGGAAATTCTATCCTTTATTTTGCATTCCTCAGAAAAACTCTCCAGTAGCAAACTTACCTCTTTGACATGGAATGTTGCATTTGTAAAAGCCCATTTTTTTCACATTGTACACTCTCCAGATGGCCTCTAAAAGAGTATCAGAAATTCCCTGAGGGGTTTACACTGCTGTACCGCAGCTATTTTTTCCATACATAAAGCAACTGTTTGCCAAGAACCAGTGTGCTGTGTTTTAGACTAGGGAAAACCGAAACAGAGGAAAAGGAAAGTTTCTGTTACAGCACACCCCTATATGCATCACCTCTACTTCATAAAAAAAAAAAAAAAGAGGTTTTGGAAGAACAAAATCAAATAAGTTTTAAGGTATAGGAACATAGAAATAAAGTTTTATACAAAAGCTTTACAAGTCAATCTCTCTTTTCAATGCAAATTGAAGAAAGATGATGACTACAAAACTACTAAGCAAGTTTAGACTAAAAGACCTCCTTTCTAGGGACAAAAATGATTATTTAGGAAGGATACTTAGTACAGGTTATTGTAAATTATTAGTCTTGTTGTTTTAACAGTGAAAAGCAGGGGTTTATTAAGTAGTTGTGTCCTTAAACTCATGATTGTCAGAATGAGCAATGCAAAATGTTACTGATTTTTTTAAATTAACAGAATATATCCTTATGACTTATTCAGAGGAATAGGCATATAACTGCTTACAGCTGGGCTGTCCCTTGAATCCCACAGCTGCACACTTCTGTGGCTGGCAGTACTAATGTAGTCACGACTGTCTAACATACAGAATGAAAGTAAAAATGAAGTTTACTTTGGACCAATTTTAGCACTCAGCATTCAAATTTTCGGGTTTGGAGTCGAAACTTCATGATAGCCTGGCAGTTAGCAAAGACCCAGCAATACTCGAGAGATTCCTTGTACTGGACCTGCTGTACTTTCACAGCTTACCCGCCAGGCTGTGCTGAAACTCTGCAAATGCATTTGCTCTCCAGAGCACTACAGCAATGTGTTCAGCTCTCTCCATTTCAGTAACGTGGAGCCATTCGAGGTAACGAAGGTAATATTTGTTTATACAGCACTGCAGAGATTGTGTCTGTCCAAGACCAAACACTAGTTCAGAGTGAGAGGGTGAGTTCGCCTGTGTGTCATTCGTAGCCTTATGTGTGAGGTTACATTCCCAGAAACCAATGAGTTGTTCACTTGGCAGCTGCTCAGCTAAAAAAAAAAAAAATTAAAATAAAAGAAAGAGCGATGATGTGGTGGCCTGTGCTAACTTTTTAGTGGGGCAATGCAGCACTGAGACAATATTGGACTGGGGGGCTGACGGCCTTTATATGAATGATTTTCCAAACTGAATTTGCAAAGAAAAGCTGCAGATGAGATACAGGAGGCTGCATGCATGCAGGAAGTTAATCTGTGCTGGCATCAGTGGCTGCTAAAAAATTGTCATCTCCTCATGTTGCAATAGAAGTCAATGTGCATGTTTTTCAACACAGAAAAGTGGTAAAAAAAAGGATAATAGATAATAGAAAGTTACCACTGGAAGGTAGAGTTTCAGCCAAATGTCTACATTTGGTGAATTTTTATTTTGGTGAATATTTTTATTTTATTTTGTGAATTTTTTTTTAAATGTCAATTTCTATTTTTTTTTAAGAAGGAAATAATGAATCATTTTCATCCTATTTTACTAATGTTAATATGTCAAATTGAGACTAACAGTATCTTGTTCTAATTTTAGCACTGTACTTTCTTTTACTCCTGGTCTTTTCTGAAATATTTAAATATATTATTTTTAATATATCATTATGTCATTGAAACCACTTCAAGACAAGAGCAGTTCAGTACCATTAAGTGTTTCCTTTTTCTATATTGCTTTCTTAATATAATTTCTATTCAGCAATAAAATGAAATTCTGACTTCATGTATTGATTTATCATTAATAAAATTCTCATGGAACAGGAATTCAATTTTTTAAATGGCATTAATAAATTATTCCATGAAGAGTTATGTCTCCTCCCCAGAAGAGCAAGGCATTTCCACTATCAAATAATGCCTTGTCCCACTCCAGTCCCAATGGAAAAACTCTTTCTGTGGCCATGCAGGGTAGAAAAGACTCGTAGCTTCCCCTGCTTTGCAGGTAGCCCTACTCAAATCTCCACAGTCCAATTAGTCAAAGTCTCTGACTTTTCCTTTCGTAGCGCTTGCTTCAGTTACTGAGTGACGTCCTGAATCCTGAAAACCTCATACCAGCTTGGTAAGTTAGGATATGTCAGCATGGCATCTCACCAGCTCAGCTGTTGTATCATA